CCGCAACCACTGACAAGGTACATGGTATCCAGAAATGGATAAGCAGGACACAAGGATAAAGACTGTCAAATCTTGCCAAGACAGTTTAAGATGGTTTTGAAAATTTTCCTGCCTCTGAAAATGGTCTGTCAGTTACTCTTGGCCTTAGCCAAAGTTGGTTGCTTCAATGTTGCAAATAAGACTTTGGATGATTTGATTGTCCAGATAGCCAGTCGTCTCTGTCATTTGTTGCACATTTTGGAAGTTGCTTGATTGCACATCCTGCTTACTCAAGTAATATTATTTCCCTTCTCGGATCTGCGATGGGGTTGAAGACTAGATAGTTGTAGTTACTTTCCTTTCATGACATGGCCAAGTTATTTATTATACAAGACTTTAACTCATCAGGATAGGATAATTATTGATTATATTTTTCTTATTTTATATAATTTTGTATTAGGCTTAGAACTCTCTTATTTACACAAACAGAGAAGGTGCTGTAGGAAATCCTACGGCGAGTAGCCTATAAATTACACTTGGGTGTTGCCTCTTATACTATTTATGCCGATGTAAAGTTTGTATCCAGTCTCTCTCCTTTCTGGCGGCAGGATTCGGTTGTTGTTCTCTGCTCCAGCAGAGGATTCTGATTTGTGGGTCTACCCCTAAATAAATAACCACCTATTAGTCTCAATTCTGAGCTAGTGTGGGATTTCTTTTAAGTGTCCTTCAAATATTTGCAAGGTCAAAGAAAAAATAAATAAAGCATTACTAACAAGAATCAAATATCTAATAAGTGGGAAAAATAAAACCATGTTGAAGAAGTACATGATGCAAAGACAGCACTATCACTTTGATTCTTGACAACTCAGCAATTTTTCTATCCCATTAATATTTGATAGAACAGCATATTCATGTAGACCTGGGGGTATTACAAACATTTGCAGAGCGATGCTCTTCATTCTAGCTGATATAAATGCAATGTGGAGCTCCAGTAGACAGAATGAACAACTGAAAGTGAAACAAAGTAAAAGGAAGGCTGATGTTATAGTGGAGGTGTCTGCAGCACCTCGAAACGGACGTGAAGGCTCACAGCTGGGTGTAAGACAGAAAAGACAGGACTCTGAGAAAACTGTGAGCAGCCAGTTGGCTTCTATCCCCAAAACCAGGCAAACAGGAACCTTGCTTTTTACACATTCTTCCTTCTAATGTGGCTAATCATAACAGACTCAAGACTTCTATATAGCTTCCACCTATCCAGAAAGTGGACTACTGCAGACCATGGAAGAGTCAAGGGGCTTTACATGGGAGACCAAGAGAAATCCAGCCATATCTTAGTATCTGGGGAAAATAAAAACTACCCACAAGTCACATGAACCAGAGACAAAGCATATATTAATTGGCTACTGCATTCCTCCTTCCCAAGACTGGAGACCAGCAGCACTTGCAAGATTGACAACCTGCAATGGAGGCCCGGGCTAGTAGTCAATAAACAGCCAAGAGGAACACCTGACAAAGTAAATAGACACAGAGAAAGAGAGAAGCCTTCAAAATGTGACTGTTCCCTAATTAGGTGAACAGCATGTGAACAGAGCTTTGTTATTATCTTCCAAGTGGGGTCAGAAGAGGAGGAACCCAGTGTGGAATTCCCTAACTGTCTCAGCCCACAGTAAACACAGAGGAAAAAAACAGTCTCAGTAGAAATGGCCTCAGTCTTTGTCCAGTGCCTGAAAGTATGTCATAAAAATGCCCAAGTGGGCTGTTCTACAGATTTTCCTCTCAACACCCCTCCCACTCACGGGAGTTTCCCTTACTCTTCCTTAACCTCTCTCCTGTCCTTAAATTTCCTTAATAAAGTCTGCCCTTACTTGTTTGCTCCTGTGTCCACATCTTTTATTATCAGCAGCTGAGACAATGAGCAGAGACCTACTGTCTCAGGGCATGTATTATGTCACTTCATGTCTATGAACTGCTCAGAAATTCTGCAGAGATAAAAAGTAGATGAGGGGTTGCCTGGAGGGCATTGCGTGGGCAGAAATCATCTGTGACTGCTCATGAGCAAAGCCTCCTTTAGAGCAGTGGTTCTCAACCTGCGGGACACGACTCCTTTGTGGGGAAAGGTCGAGTGACCATTTCACAGAGGTCTCCTAAGACCACCAGAGAATACATATATTTACATTACAATTTATAACCTTAGCAAAATTACATATCAAGAAAAATTCTATGCTTGGGGGTCACGACAACATGAGGAACCGTATTAAAGGGTCACAGCATTAGGAAGGTTGAGAACCACTGCTCTAGAGGAATGCTGAAAATATTCTATGATTAATTGTGAAGATGGTTGTATACTTCTAAAACTAAAGTTTTGGAATTATACAGCTTATCTGGATAAATTATGTAGTACATGGTTCTCAACAGAGCTATCACATAAAACAGACAATAACAAATGATATCAGAATACTTATTGTTCTTTTAAATCAGTCTTGATTATCCACACCATTTGAGCACAACAGTAATGGACTCTAGATGAAAGGGTCTCACGTTGTTCTGATCTCTGTTCTCAATCACAGCCTTTTCTTTTCATATGGACTGGCACTTAATGACTGTCATCACCTGACTAGCCGGCACACAGTGGGAGCACAGTGAATATGTATTAAGTGTGAATACATAGTTGTCATGTCAAACATTGTTACATTGTACAAACAGGCTTTCCCTGTTCTAAATTTGTGATTTTGAATGATGAAGGACGTGAGTCAATGTGACGTTTGAATTTTACATATACCTTTAGTGCTGGATTGATTTATTCAGAATACCCACTAGGAATTGGAGTGATTTAGAATCACCACACGTAGCTTCTCCTGGTCCTGTGAAGAACAAGCATTAACTACTGCATCCACCTGTTAGATTATTGCTCAATAGACTGTCAAATCCTACGCCTTGTGACAAAGAGCATGGGCTTGAAGCTGCCTTCAAACCAAAAATCAAGAAACCAAGGAGGACAAAATTAAGTCGGTCTTTGAGAAAACACCAAAGAAACAATTCCAATTTCCCAAACATGCAAATAATTTAGTCTTTCTTTGAAGACAGTGACAGGAAACTCTCCACTGAACCTCTTCAGTAGAAGGAGGGACCATATCAAAAACTTCTCCTGGGTTCTAGTTCTCAAGAAAGGAGTTCCTATGAACAGTCACTAGAGGGGGCTGTGAACCTAAGCTCCTCCCAGGCTGAGCCAAGGCTGTCAGTGCATATACAGAGGATTCCATCCCTTCTGTCACCTTATCATTTTATAAGCACTTTGTGAATGCATTGATAGATTCAAAGACATGAGGAAGCTCATTGTAAACAGCAAAACAGACGGGTGAGCCCAGCCCTTACCCAGGGAAAGTGAGGGAGGAGCTAGACATGGCAATGCAGCCTCAGCTACTTGAAAACTAAGGTGCTGGTCCCTTGAGGTCATGAATTTTTATTATAGATCATCTTTCTTTTCTGTTTGATTTTTGGCAGTTTCACTATGTACCCGAGGTATACTATATAATCACACTGTGTTGTGATTATATTCACCACCTCCTCCATTACCCTCTGTTAGCCCCTTTGTTTTCCTCTGGACTTTTCTTCCCAATTAGCCCCCCACTGGCTACAGTACTGAAGAAAATGATACCCCTAAGTGACCACTAACAGTAATAAGTCCCAAGAAAAGTGGGTGTGGACTACGGAGCATGTACACCAAGAATTTGAGAAAGCCTGAGCAATAGAGTGAGGCACAGTCTCAAAAAAGAAAAGAAGGAAGGAAGGAAGGAAGGAGAGAAAGAAAGAGAGAGAGAGAAGTCTACATGGATTGGAGATGTAGTAGTCTTCAGGGGTAGAGCATTTGTCTAACATTCGGCAAAGCCATGGTTCAATCTCTAGTTTAACAAGGAGCCAATAAGGCAGGTAAGTAATAGAGAGGTCAATTTTAAATAACTATTTAAATTATTTAAATAAATAATAACTATTTAAATAAATAATTTCCTGTTACATAGTACCAACAAGTTCAGTTTTTGTAGCAGAGAGGAAGGAATGATTTAAGTTTTATTCCTTCCCATATTTCCAGTAATCACTTCTGATAAACTAGAGAACGCATTTCTACCTCCCTTGTCAAATGGCATCATTTCATTTTCTTCTCCAAATTTTGTTTTCCTGACCCTTATTTTTTCTTTCCTATTTATTATCTTCAAGGCATATCACTTCCAGGTGAGGCTAGAGATAAGGAGATTTGTGTTAGAGAGGAGTCCACCGAAGATTGTCGTGGGTAAGCAAGTCATTGGTGTCTAGACAGTAATTCCAGTTAGAAGAAGTAGGAGAAAGACTCTGTTGTGGGAGGCCACCTAGGAGGCTGGAACACCAGAGAACTTGACTTCTATCATTTTTTTCTGCCATACTGATCATGCACTGTTAGGCACTTAAACTATTTTTATTATGTACATTGCAAATAGTTTTTTCTACGGTGTTTTTTTTTAACTTTTAACTTGATTTATCATAATTTTGATGAGAAAAAGAAGTTGGTATTTTTAAGAGCTAATTTATTTCTGCTCCTAAGACTTGCATATTACCAATATAAATAGGAAGTCTTTCTTACACTTACAGCACAGAGCGCGATAGGATTTCCTGAAATAAAGAGCAATTTCTATCAGCTCAATACACTAAACTATCAATTGACCCTGAGTTTGCCTGTCTCATCAGCAAGGGGTGTATGGTTTCCTTTGAAACATTCAGACACAGTCTTGAGTTTGAGCCTTGAAATGATCACAACAGAAACTCCAACTAGAGATTATGTAACAAAAATATTTTCATCTTCTTTTAAAAGTTGTATTTAAACTCGGGAGGTAGGGATAGACCCAACCAAGAAGCACTTGACTGGAGCCACCCACAAAGAAGGCTTCTTGAGGAGGGGCAAAGCTGGCAAGTGCTGGTTTGTGGCTTGAGACCTCACATCCTCCCATCAGACACAGATTCTGAGCTCAGAACCCTAGAACCTGTTTTTAACTATGAGGTTTGTGAGTGGAATTGCCGTTCTTTTGACTTTGGGTAAGTGTTCTGAACCTACAGAAGAATGACTTTTGTGCCTAAAGACCAAGATGTGTCTGCTGTCTCTATTTCTCTCTCTGTGAATATCCAAAGCGCTGGAGAGAATTGGTGTCTGAGATTCTTTAGTCTGGGTGTCATCAGCATGAGCAGCTGCGTATCCCACTTGCGGACTTATATACAAGAAGTCCCAGGTTGATTAAGCTTGAGGAAAATGGGACATGGGCATCTTTTCTTTGGCTGTGTGATTCTGCACAGCTAAGGAGTAAATTTTAGCAATTTCCTCTGGTCCTGAGTAACATATAGCACTCAGCAGCAGAACTCGGTAGAAGAGTTCTGAGGCATCCGAGAGCCTGACACTTAGACACTTCGGTAATGAATGGTACAAAGTTGATCTGTTGCTTCTTAACTCCTTAGGTATTGCGGGTGATGCTAAAACTACACAGCCAGATTCAATGGAAAGTATTGAAGAAGAAACTGTACACTTGCCTTGTAGCCACTCCGCCATCAGTGGGATCGAGTACATTTACTGGTACCGACAGGTTCCTCTTCGTGGTCCAGAATACGTGATTCATGGTCTACAACAAAACACAAGCAATAGAATGGCCTTTCTGGCTATTCCCTCTGACAGAAAGTCAAGTACCTTGATCCTGCCTCTGGTCAGCCTGAGCGATGCTGCTGTGTATCACTGTATCCTGAGAGAAGCACACTGTGACAGACAGGGCTGCACCTGTGCAATATCTGCCTCGTGAGGGAGGGGAACAGCGGCATCCTCTAAAGAGGCCTCTGCACAGGAATGAGCAGAAGCCCTACAGGGGAAAGAGAAGTCTGAGGAGCCCAGCAGGGGTGGGAAAGGAATGCTGAGCCTGGGCAAGAACTGCTGACAGCAGATAGACAGACATGCCTGCAGGGCAGCTGATAGCACAACTTCCAGTTCCGCAGAGAGAAGGGAAGGAGAACTTCTGACTCCTTTTCATTTGAAAAAAAAAAAAAAAAACTGATGAGAAAACCTTTTTGGAGCCAGGGCAGAGTCCAAGCTCTGGGACACACCATAATCACTATGTCCTTCTAACATTCCCAAAACTCAAAGAAGCCTCAGCTTTCTTCCATTTTCTCTGAAGAAAAAATAGGTTTTTTTTTTTCCTGTTGGTCCCTGTGGCATACAGTTTAAGTAATTGGTTTGTGAATGAACAGATAGTTATTTGCTTCTAATCTGCATTGAAATGTTTTTAATTATTACATAAAAGAATAAAAATAATTTTCATTGCTTCTCAAGTAAAAATTGACCTTCCCATCTCCATCCATCTTCCTCTTTAACTCCTGCAATAACCAGTTTTGACAGTTTGAGGTATACCGTGGCAATCACATTCCCTTCCATATTTGCATGAATACTCACAGCTACCCAATTTTATTACAGAAATTAGAGTGTAACATATTTTCTGATGCTTATTTTTATGTTTTAGTTTATAATTATTTGAGGTGCACTCATGTATACATTTTTCCAATATACAAAAAATGACTCCATAGTGTGGATGAATAATGGTTTCTCTTGCTTGGTTTTAATGTTTGTATTTTCTCTTAGATATCATAAAAAGAATTGTAATTTTACAGAGAGAGAGAGAGAGAGAGAGAGAGAGAGAGACCCTTGATTTGTAGCTCAGACTACCCTCAAATTAGCAATGTTGCCTAGCCTCTCACATGCTGCAATACAGAACTGCACCCCCAAACCTGACTGAAATATTCTTTAATATAGAGATAAATTGAGGAGTTAAGGTAGGTATAGAATTTGAAAAACAATATAAGTCATTTAAACAAGAAATATGTCAAATAATCTCAACATATACAGGAAATCCTTGGCAAAATTCAGTGCTGATAGTTTAAAATTTTTCCATAAATTAAGAATAGAAGTGAAATTTCTTAACTTGTTAAGAGACTTCATAAAATCTACAATTCAGTTCAGATTTATAGGGGTGAGTCTGATGTCACCCCACCCAAGATCAGGAAGATGGTGAGGATGTCCGCCTTGCTGCTTCTATTTAGTATTGTCCTGGAAGAATGGTTCAATGTAACGAGACTAAAGGAAAGATGGATGCATTTTATTCATTTTATAGGATAAAGAAAGTGTTTTGCACACAACACAAATGCCATTACTAATAGAACATGGTAGAAGATACTTCTTGGTTCAGCCTTAAGTAGAGAAGAAGAACTCTGTGATCCATACTGCAAAGGGGGGCCTTACAATGATCTAAGAAAACATTGTAACAAGGAGACACTCAGCACTTGAGCCGCTCCAGTTGGGGAAGACTTTTAAACAAGCAGTGAAAGCACCTGCCGCAGCCTGGCTCAAGAGGCTGTGAGTTGTGGATGTAGTTGGACTGCTGTGGAGGCAGGAAAACTGAGTCATGTAACGATCCATCTCTCCTGAAGGCGAGGGCTACAGAACCTGAAACAATGTGGGAGAAATTGTCCCTGATGAATGGGGTTGTCAGGGCTTTAGGAACACTCCATACCCCGATCTGAAGGCCCCATTTTATCCAGGAATGAGAGGATATAGTAAACACAGGAACTGCTGATGGAACTGGAAATGAGAGGAGCTGTGTTTGACCCCACTTCACTGGACTGCATAGAACTGAGTTCACAGAGAGATGATCCAGTGGGGATCTTGATACTGGTATGCTGCTTTATGGTTTTGTTGAGTTCCACTACAAGATGTGTTCTTTATGAAGCAGGAGAGGTTACAACAGATCCGAGCTATGTAGACAAGCATACTAATCAAGTTGGTGAAGTAATAAAACTGTTTAGGGAAGAGTTTAAAAATGTTCAAAGCCAACACAGTGACAATTCTGGGTCACTTGAAAACAGATATGGAAAGATATGTGCCAAGTTGGTGCTCTTGAGAAAAGAACTTTACAGAAAGCCAAATGCTATGCTAGTGAGCTTCTGGAAGACTTTAAAGTCTCAGTTCAGAGAAGGCATTAATGATAGCACAGGCCAAATAAAAAAAGTCTAAGCCTGACCCCAGGTGAGCCATGCCCTCAGAGTAAGCTGTACATTTCTCCTCTGGAGTAAAGATTGATATGGGTGGAAATGGTTCATCCAGTCTGGAGCTCCGACAGCAGCCAGGTTTGGTTGAGAGACTCAACAGGGATGGATACAGCTGTGCTTCCCATCCAGAGCCTGCAAGGTGAGGGGCTTCCACAGCAGTGGGATGTGCCGGGGGGGGGGGTGGGTGGAGTCAATGAGAGTGGTGATAGCTGCAGTGCCAGCCCAGAGCCTGCAGGACCCAAGGCTCTCTCAACAGTCAGGTGTGGTTGAGACAGAGATAGTATCTTCAGTCCAGAACCTGTCAGACCCAAGTAACCAAATCAGGTGTCAAGCGCAAGACAGCTTTTGGACATGGGACTGGAGAGTTTGAGACAGACACACTAAACCTAGCAGGTGGAGTGGTGCAGAGCACCCCATCAAAGCAACCAGGATAAGGAAGTGGAATGTGCGAGAAAAATGACTGTGGATTATGGAGAACCAGCTAAAGTAATATTTCCCATTCACACTCCTGTACCAAATACTGAACCTTTTAGAAAATGATTGTTACAAGTAATGGAGTTATTCCAGGCTGTCCACTCCCTCCATATCTATTCAACATAGTGCTCGAAGTTCTAGCTAGAGCAATAAGACAACAAAAGGAGATCAAGGGGATAAAGATTGGAAAGGAAGAAATAAAACTTTAGCTGTTTGTAGATGGTACAAAGTGACCCCAAAAATTCTATGAGGGAATGCCTACAGCTGATAAATACCTTCAGTAATGTGGCAGGATACAAAATAAACTCAAAAAAATCAGTAACCCTCCTATGTACAAGTGATAAAGGGTCTGAGAAAGAAATCACAGAAACATCACCATTTACAATAGCCACAAATAACATAAAATACCATGGGTAATGCTAGCCAAAGAAGTGAAAGACCTGTACAACAAGAACTTTGAGTCTTTGAAGAAAGAAATTGAAGAAGATATCAGAAAATGGAAAGATCTCCCATGTGCTTGAGTAGGTAGGATCAATATAGTAAAAAGGGCAATCCTACCAGAAACAACCTAGGGATTCAATGTAATCCCCATCAAAACCCCAACACAATTCTTCACAGACCTCAAAAGAACAATACTCAACTTCATATGGAAAAATTAAAAAAAAACTCAGAATATCCAAAACAATCCTGTACAATAAAGGAACTTCCAGAGGCATCACCATCCCTGACATCAAGCTCTATTATAGAGCTTAGTAATGAGAACAACTTGGTATTGACATAAAAACAGAGAAGTGGACCAATGGGATCAAATTGAAGACACTGATATTAATCCACACACCTGTGAACACCTGATTTTTGACAAAGAAGCTAAAATTATACAATGGAAAAAAAGCATCTTTAACAAATGGTGCTGGCATAATTGGATATCAACATGTAGAAGAATGCAAATAAATCCATATTTGTCTCCGTACACAGTATAGATTCAGCCACAATGAACCTCTTAGAAAAAAGTGGAAAGTGGCCTGAACACACGGCACAGGACCACTTCCTAAATATAACACCAGCAGCACAGACACTGAGAGCAACAACAAATAAATGGGACCTTCTGAAACTGAGAAGCTTCTGTATGGCAAAGCACACAGTCAATCATGGGTTCACTTTCTAAGGTCCATAGATATATTCATGCTGTGTGATATCATTGGTTCACTTTCTAAGGTCCATAGATATATTCATGCTGTGATATCATGGATTCACTTTCTAAGGCCGATAGATATATTCATGTTGTGTGCCACCCCTAAGAAAAATCTCTCACACAAGAGCAGGTCTTGCGCAGACAACCACCATTGCTGTGAGGTGATGAGTGTAGCCGTCAGTCATGCTTAGAAGACAGCATTTTGCAGCACTTGCCCTATCCTCCAGCTCTTAAACTCTTCCCACAATGCTCCCTGAGCTTCGGATGAGGGGAGATTGACATAGATGACCCATTAACAGCTGAGCACTTAGACTCCCTCATTGCCATCACTTTGAGCAGGTGTGAATCTCTGCATTAGCTACCACCTGCCGCAAAAAGAAACTTCTCTGGCTACGGTTAACAGCAGTGTAAATCTATGAGTATAAATATTAAGCTTTATGTAGTTTGACAGTATGACCATTTAGTGAAATGAAGACAATAGGGTCCCATCCACCCACCCAGGGTCTGAATCTCTCCATTTGTGGGCCATTGACAACGTTTACAGTCCCAGACATGAATTACCTCCTGTAGGAAAAAAAAGCAGGGAGTTTCCTAACCAATGTCCCACAACTAAAGAGGATAATATTTTCCAAAATAGAGTATTAACATTTAGATAAGGTGGGAAACCAAGAGCAACAGTGACAGCCTGTGTTGTTTTGGGTGCTCTGGGGCCTCCCTGACCCCATTCATAACAGAGTATCCCATGCCTGGCACTGAGATTTTATTAACTCACATCTTCTGAGAGCAACCTTGTCCAGCTATCCAGAGAACTTCTAACCAAACTCACTTCCTATGTTATGTGCACACATATTAGCTGACAAACAGTAGACCTGCATAAGACTTATTCACACACCCGGAGTTAATATATAACCCACTCCCTAATCCCTGCCCTGCCTTAGCTCCTTGTCCTAGGCACAACTTCAAGTTTTAACCCAAAGTTCTCCCTTTTCTTTCATGCCGC